AATTTCTTCATCCACTGCACTGTACCTAAAAACTTAAGCAATTGTTTTGAGTTGGTTGGCGATGTCCATTTTGAAATCTTCTCCACCTTCTCATCATCTGGGCATATACCTGCCTCGCTGATTTGATGTCCCAGGAACTTGATTTCTCGTCTGAACAGTTTACTCTTTTTGATTGAGCAGTATAGTTTTGCTTTTCTTAGCCGTTCCAAAACTTGTCTTAAGTGATCTTCGTGTTCTTCAACGCTCTGAAAAAATATGACTATATCGTCAATATACACCACACAGATTTCCCCAACCAATTCGCCTAGGATTTCTTCATTTCGAGCTTGGTGCGTAGCCGGCCCATTTGTCAACCCCATGGGCATCACGACCCATTCGTACAGACCCCAAGGTGTTTTCACCGCCGTCAGCGGGATGTCTTCCTCGCGCATCCGGTCCTGAAAGAAGGAATTGGTTTGATCGACCACAGACCATACTTTTCCTGTTGCCACTAAGCGGACTGCTTCGTCCACGTTAGGTAGAGGAGCCCGATCCTTGACTGTGTATTTATTCAGAGTACGATAATCACAGACCCAGCGAGGTAATTCTGCTGGGTCCTTCTTGGGGATTATCATCGACGGTGAGCCGTACTGGCTCTGAGATCTTCGAATGCGGCCTGCAGCTAAGTGTTGCTGAATCAATTTATTCCAGGAATCCAAATGTCTTCGAGGATAGCCATACTGCCTCTCGTTGATCACAACATTTGGATCCGTAAGTATGATTTTATGACGAACTTGTCTGTTCACATCCGGTAAGCCATCCGGGAATGTTTCATCCGGTGCTTCACCCTCCTCCACTGGAGGAAGCTCTGCCGGGAAAAGGTCCTTAAAATCTTCAAAGATCTTCAATTCACGCTCACTCATATCTTGTATCTTGCAAATCTTGTCAAGATTTTGGATAGCACATAAAACTCTATTCATTTCTGATTGCATGTCTTTCTCATACAAAATCTTGCCACTCGATGTGTGTAACACGCAACGCCGATGGAGGGATACATCTAATTGAAACTTTGATAAGAATGGTGAACCTAAAATCATGTCGTACGATGGGCTTAACGGTGATAACTTGAAGAAAACCGCTCCAAAACGCAAGCTGGGATTTTCGCATTTTAGATTAGCCATCGCAAACTCTCGCAAGACAAGAGGGCTCCCTTCTGTAGGGATTGCCAGGCGTACCTCTACAGGTGAGACCAATGGCCGTCGAGGTACTCGTAATTCACTCGCCATGCAATCGGACAGTAGATTCGTCCCTGCTCCCGAATCTATGAGAGCTCGCACGGGTTTCCCATTACATGTCAGCTCTAAGATGATTGGAGCGACAGATTTCGACGGTACGCACCCTTCCTGTCCATCTGCGTGTTCTTCGATTTGAGTTGATTGGAATCGATCCGCTTCTTCATATGCAGCGATGTCTTCAGATAAGATGTCAGGGAAATTTTCAATTGCTGCTACTCGTGCTGTAGGTATTGCTACCGGTGGCCTTCCTGCGGGGCGTTGAGTAGGTGCTCCTGGAGGTGTGGGTCCGTTATTGGGTAGGCCTGGACGACGAGGTCTAGGGCCAGGGTTGAAATTGGCTGGTACTGAAAGAAAACGCATGTTCTTCTTCGTACAATTCTGGTTATTGCACTTCTCTTTGCAGGTCGAGCAAATTCCGTTGCGTCGAAGATACTCGTGGTATCGCCAGGTGTTGTCTGCCCGTTCATCCTCTGATCGTTGTCTAGCTGGAGGAGGATTACGGGCGGGATTTGGTGCTGTAGAGTTAGTATTGGCCGTAGCGTGACTTGACTTAGTTTTCGACGACGGATCCGATAGTAATCGACTGTTGATCAGAAAGCGACGGATGCCGTCCGCCGTATCTTTGAATTTCGGGAAAGAGAAAGGTATCACATGTAAGTGCCCCTCTCTCTCGATCATGTCTTTGACTAACTGGGGTGCACCCCAGGTAATGTGTTGAGCGAGATGGTGGTCTGTGATCTGACCGAACGGTTTGATCAGTCGGTGTAAAGCTTGAGCACGAGATACATAAAGATCGAATGTTTCTCCCGGTTTAATCTCGAGTCTTCGTAAGGCGTTCTCGGTATCCGTCAGCCATGCGTAAGGTAAGGTACCCATGGCCATCATTTGCATGGCTCCATCCCAGGTTTGCTGCTTCAATTCTCCCTTGTTCGATTGATACCAGGCTGACATTTCCTCGTTGTTCAGTAAGGAACCCAACAACTTCAGCTTCTCCCGATCATCCACGAGGTTTTTGATCTCGAACGTCTCTTCGATAAGGCTACGCCAGTGAAACAGGTCCGCGGGGCTACCGAACTTCCCGCTGAACTTTGGTAAGTCACTCAGCTTGACACGATCGGCCGTGGTGGTGTTGGGTACGACGATTGTTGGATTGTTGATTTGGCCGGTGTCTTCGAAGCGATCTGGCCTCGCAGGCTGAGGTGGTATAGCCGGTGAGTACACAGTGGTCAGTGGCGATGGGTAGGTCGGTCTCGAACTGAAATTCGCAGGTGTTGACTGGGTAGGCTGAGAGCGAGTAGTCGGCTGGGGCTCTGGGATCTCCTCAGCCCAGCTGACTCGTTGCAGAGGTACGTAGCTCGTGGTGGTACGCCCCTGTCGGTTGGTTTCGGCTGGTGGCTGCTGTACCTTTGCCGGCTGATTTCCTGATTGGTTTCGTGGCAGTGGAGACGGAGACGTTGGGGTACCATGTACATAACGACTGAAAGTGTTGTTACCGCTGGGTGGGTCTGCTTCTGAGCGATCGACCTCAGACGTCACTGCAGCAATTCCGGGTGATCGAGCTTGACTTCGTTCCGCTAGGAGATCTCGTACCAGCTTTTGTAGCTCTGCCGTCTCACGTCGTGATTCGTCCAGTTCGGCCGTGCGCAGTTCTAAGTTCTCGACTTGAGATCGTAGAGCCCGTATAGTTTCAGAATCTTCCTCCCTCGACATAGTGTTGGTGGGATCCGATGTAAGGGTTCCTGTTGCGGTTGTAGCAGGTGGTTTTTGCAGTGGTGTGTCTTGCGGGAGGTATCCAGGCGGATGCGGTGTGTGAGACTGACTAAATAATTTTTTGAAGTGCAGGTCAATTACCGTCTTCTCGGGTGCGGATGGTGAGATGTCGATTGGTGAGAATTCACGTGTTTGAGGCTGATCTGGGCTTTTTTGATAATACGACGAAGCGTAAACGACACGATCCGTCAGTGTAGCCGGTGATCCTGACGCAACAGCTTTGGGTCTCCAGGAAAAATTTGGAGGTCGTCCGGCAAGTGGACTCTAAGTCTCTTCTAGACTAGAGTCCACTTTCTTTCCTTTTCTTGCTTGTCTGAGTAAGGTCTCGGGATCGTCTAAATAGTTGTCAGGTTTGAGCGTTGACGGTCCAGACATCCGATACGCTAGTAAGATCGTGAGTTCGGGTGATTGTTCCGGCGTCGAAGTCAGAGTAGGTGTAGCAGAAGGTGACAGAGCAGAAAACCGTGAGAGATACGGTGGCAGGTGGGGTGACTGAGCAGATTGACCGACAATTCCGAAAAGCAGAGCAGATACGATGAAATGAGATAGTGAGAAAAAAATATTGGTGGTGTAACTTTAACTTTCGAAGTGATCAAGTTAAAAAAAGTGTAAGGTTCCGTGGGAACCTTCACTGGGGTCCAGATAAGGTTCTGGCTCGACTCCTCGAGAGAGCACTACGGGCGATAAACTTGGAACTTCGTTATATGAAATTACGATCTAGCTCCAGAAAGTCCCACAATTGGCTCTCTGAGTAGTCAGCGACAAAGTCCAAAAGAAAAGAAACAACAAGATGAAGAGAAACTCACCTAGCTCCAGAAAGTCCCACAATTGGCTCTCTGAGTAGTGAGGACTCTCCGAAGCCGGGCGTTGGAAAGAAACATAAAGTATGACCTGGCTAATCCCATGCTACACTTCCCATAACTGCTAAGTCTATGTGTACTCCTTACACTGACCTTAAGAGTTATTTGTATTCGGGTTTGGTCATGACCTTTTGTTAGATACTTATAAAGGTACCTCACAGGTTTTGTCCCCAATGGAATTTCGACGTTTATATGGCATTCAAAGAGCATTAACAAATACTTATTATAAGAAACCACGTTCGCATTGCTGAATTTATTTGGGCCATTGTTAAAAACTTTCCCATCATCCGGCCGTCGATAATTGTAAAAGCCTGAATCAGAAATTGTAGTTTCATCGCAAAATTGTTTAGGAAATCTTGCTTTGCAAGCACCATCGACCCAGCAAGGTTGTCTTTGACATGGACCATGCAACATATGCGTTGTAACCAACTTATAAAGCCGTGGTTCGGCGTCTTTGTCAGGAATAGTCGCGGTTACCAAAGCATCCACTTCTTCTGCAGTCTTTGGCTTAGTGTTTTTGTCAAGGATGCATAAGATGTGAGCGTGCGGTAAACCTCGCTTTTGGAATTCCACAACCATTAGATGAGAAATCACCACACCCAATCGATCGTTCTTCAGTAATTCGTCACACAATTTAGCCAATTTCAAGTGAAAAACCCTCGCCACAATATCTGGCCTATCTTGGGCCGTTTCTCCATACTTCAATTCTTTTTGTATTTCTTCCCATTCCGGATTGGTAGTCATAGTGATAAAGAGAGACGGAGTTCCATATTCCCGAACTAATGCCATCCCATCATGATATAATTCACTCATGTGACGAGGTCCTGGATGAAAAGAAGATGGCAGTATAATTGACCTTCCGGTAGTGCCCGCTGGATCGTTAAATCCTTCTTTTATGCCTTGGTACGATTCGGCCTTAATTGTCTTTTGATTTTGGCGAACCCACCTAAGATTGTTTCTTTCAACACAAAGATAGAGGTCCACTATTAGTTGTTGTGTCAAACGTCGTCCGTGGATGAAGGGTGAGAATTTATTTTCTCTTTCGAATAATAACCATGCTGCCCACTGGAGATCTGAAACGTTATAATTCTCCCTTTTACCTGCAGTGGAAAACGATGAACAAAAATCAATGCTAAGACCTCGAAGCAATAAAAAGGGCATGCCTTACAATTAGGATTGGTGACTTTGGTCAGAGATTCATACATGCCGTCCCATTGTTGGGAACCATAGGGCAACATCAAAGGATATCGGAGTCCCATGTAACCTGAGTTGAGATCTGTGATGTGGTCCATGAAACCATCTTTGTGGCACACCAACACGTCTCTCGGTCGTTTGTCGATTTCACCGTCACCTCGCACCAGCGCAGCGACGTCTTCAGGTCTTGGTTTATTGTATGTTTTCATCTCGCCCTTGCCCGGTGGCAGGGATTTTAATATGACTCGAGTTGTTGCGTCTGAATTAATGATTTCGGCAGCCCCCTTGAGAAATACAGCGTAAGGATTCACTTTGTTGATGATGTCTTGAAGTAGGCGTAAGGTGGCGGTGTGAATCTTTTTCTGTTTTTTGAACTTTGGATTGTTTAATTTACTCGCTCTCAAAGTAACCTCTCCATCACCTCCGTCACCAGCAATAAAAATCTGAGCAAATGAAGCTTTGTTTCCATCCAAAGGAAGCAAAGAAGGAATGTTATGGCTAAGTTGTCCGTTAACACGAAAGCAATAAGTGCCTTTCTGTCCATTGACGGAATTATCAATATTTGCGCCCAGTGATGCGAATGAGACCATATTGTTGTAAGTCGCGATGTTTTTTTGGAATTCTCTAGCAACTGGAGGACCAATCAGTATCCGTCTGTTAAGTTTGAGCACTTTACTTACTTTCATCTGATCCAGTGAACAGGTCCATCAAGGGGCCAGGTAACAGGGATTCTTCCAAGTACGCGATGGGTAAGGTGACATCACCTTTTTTGCAACAATTGTGAAAAACTCTAGAATCCGCCTTCTGGGCAGCCTTCGTTCTTTCTTGTGGCCAACGGAACGCCCCACAGAATTTGCAAACGATGTCAGCTGGACCAAGTTTATGGGGAATGTGACTATGGAATCGGTCCAAAAGGTATGCCTCATTGTTGCAATTGACTGTAGCGGCTGCTGGCCCCTTTGGTATAGACATTGCCTTGGAAAAGTGAAACGTAGTACTTAGGATAGTAAAGTGGAATGTGAGGGTCGTATGAAACGAGCACTGTGTGAGTGGCACGCTGAACATCACTGCATATCATGTTCCTGAAACTTGTTATTCACATCACACCATATTCTCATACTGCAATCATCATCTAATACATTCCATGCACGCGAAGTAGAGGTAAGAAGTGATTGATACATGTCAGAACAAGGTACCAATGCAGGCCCCACTGTTGTTATAACTCAATACAGAAACATTGTAAAATAGTTGGACAAAGGCAAACATATGGGCTTGGCATATGATAGAGAAGATACTACTTTGAGATTGTGCTTGCAGGCTGAGTAATAATTATCACAGCCTTGTAGTGGGATGCATTGTAACACAACCTGAAAACAGTAGTTATTAATAGGAATTCTCTAAAATTGTTCATAACTCAGACGTCATAAACTACTGATACGACTACCTCAATTGATGATAAGTGAGTGGTCATATATTGGCTCTATCTTTGACATATCTAATCTGATGACTGATTAAAAACCTCTTGGAGAGTACACATTGGTAGGTTGAGGGCCAATTACAAATAAAGCCATAAAGATGTATAATCAAGATTGGGATTTGAAACGAAAGATGGAGCAAGTGTGTTTACTACACTTATCGCAGTTAATCAAGACACATTAGGCATCGGCATCAGGTGTAGCCCCTTTGATACGCCTAGCTAAAGGGCGACCTGAATTCGGCTTCAAAGGGGCTTTACCTTTAGATTGACCTGAGACGTCATCTTCAACGGGGGCCGTAGGAGGGAGAGTTGAAGTTGACGGTGCCGGCGTAACTTCGGTGGCATCCGTGAAAACCCTATCAAATTAAACGGTAAGTGCCATATAATACCAAACTAATAGCAATACTTACATTTTAGCTCTCTTCCGACCTCTAGGAGTAGTACAAGTCCCGGCGCCTTCGGCAACAATAGAAGGAGCAATGTTTTCAGATCCGCTTGTAACACTCACACCCGTCACCTGGATTCGTGTAAACGTCAGCCTCAACCGGGAAAAGATCGTAAGCCATGGTTAAGATAACCAACTTGAACAATCCACCTATGAGCCTCTTCATTCCTGCCGACGATATGACCAGTGAGCATGACTTCGCGCCCTTCGGTGAGGAGTGGTTGAAGTTTCTCCATCAACTTTGACCACATGGCTCGATATTCAACGTTGAACTCAGATTGACCTTGAATCTACAAATTTAAGGTCAGTTAAAATTCAACAACTCGATAGCTGAAGGATTTACCTCTGGATTGTAATCTGAGTGTCTAACGATTAAAAAAACGTTTTCTTTGCCTGGTTCAACGGGATCGACAGTACGTGAGGAGATAATACCTAATCCGGTAACGCTTACTCCATTTGCCAGGTTGCATGGGAGGTTTTCAGATGTATTGGCTAAAAGTTGACAATCTGGCTTGTAATAGAATTTTTGGGTGTTTTTCTGATTCAGAGCTAAGAGACGTCCTTTGAGAAAATAAACTCCATCGACGTCGAGAATGATGTCAGTACCACCGTATGCGACGCATTTGACTACCCATTCAACGGATTCGCCATTCTCATCACGGGTCACTATAGTTGTATGCGAATGACGCAGCCCGTACATTCCGGTGACTTCAGGGCCAACCTGAGCACACGAAACCGTTAACATCCATGAAGAGTGGGAGCAAAAAATAAACTAACATTTTCAAAAACGTCAAACAACGAAGCAATGACGAAGGGATGATTCTTTCGCCTTCCTCCACCGGTGTTGGAAGATTTACCACGGATTGGACTTTGGTTCATCACAACGAAACCAAGCTAATGAGACAAAGCAAAGCGTTTAAGATCAATGTACGTCGAATAGAAAATTATTAAAATTGTGTTCCATACATTGGAGAATCGCAAGACAATCACTAACCAAAAGCTTTACCGTAAAGAAATGGCAAGAAGTGAAACTGACTCTGCCATTTAAAACAAAAAGCATGAAAGTGGAGAAAATGTATGAGAATTTGGATTGATGATGTCCAGAATTAAAGTTCATTGAGAGCGACGGGAGGTACAAACCTAGGCGAAATGGAAATTACCAGTCAAAGGTTCAAAATTGCACAACAGGCGTAGGGAGACGTATAATTGAGCAGGGAGTAATGGATATGACGTCGAGCTTATTATAGAAATATATAGAAGGGGGAGAGTGACTCAAGCAAATAGAAACCCGCGATGCCAGGCTGACAGGCGATGATATCAACTCATTGGTATGCCCAAAGTTTGAACGGATGTTCAAACTTTGGACACACCGATGGATTGATTTCTCCAACACTACTATGACGAGTAGATCAAAAAGAGACGACACATCTGTAAAATCGGAGGAATGTATAGTTAAAAATGCAGGAGGTATAAATCACAATCCCTAGATAGATGGTTACTTGAGATAATTGCTGCATGTGGAAAAGAAGAGACGCGCGATTGTTATATGTAAGGAGTAAAACTACATTGATGATGGAAGTCTCAAGACGGTCTCCTTTATTCGCCGTCATGTACTTTGATTGATTAATTCATAGGAGTGCCCCACGTTCATCACCAATACAGCAGATTTATGAAAGGCCATACTTCAAAAGGAGAAACATATTGGAGAAGCACATCGCGAAAATAACAGTGCGATACCAGAGGGTTAGCTTAAGTTGAAAGCCCAATTTAGTAAATGAGAGATAGCAGGGGATAAGCCAAGATGAAAACTATAAATGCACCTGCCACATAATCACAACCTATTGAATTATACACAACAATGGACGGTATAAGAGAAGTACGCAAAATGTGAACTGATCGAAAATTAGATTTGAGCTAGTCTAATCTCGGGAGAAGCTCGATGAACCAAGGTGATAGTGAAGGCGTAAGATTTGCCCAAGGAGACATTAGTGATTCGACCTGATTGGAGAACCGGCCTTGGTTTCCCACGAGATTCTGGAATGCAAACCATTAGGACAATATCAAATTTAATTAATGAAAAAAGGAGAACTCACCCAAGATGAAATCAACTAACATCCTTCCCAATAGAGAGACATCTACAAACTCGTCACCCAATAGGAATGTTTTCCAAGTAACAGGACCAAAGCCATCCACATTTACAGAATCAAGAGACTGCACAGGGATCATTGTGCGATAGCCAGTAAGAGAACAGGAATGATTTGGAACGACGATGTTGAGCAAATGATGAGGTAAATCAGCTGAAGTAATAGACGCGGCTACAGGTGAGAGTCGCAACCGGGGTGGTGAATTATTAATTGATGAAGATGATAAACAAAGTATTGGAAGGATGCAGTGAGTAGGTTGATACGCAAAGTCAATAACCAGTCCAGGAGGAAAATGTAGCGGAGAGTTGGATGATGTTACACACAAAAAGAGGGAATAGCGAGATGCTGAAGAATATCATGAGACCTTCGCCAGTGGCCAATTTATATGAGAAATATGGGGAGGGAAATTGACATATGAACAGTATGAATTGTAATTGAACACAGGTCAAAATTATACACAATTGGGCAACAGCAAGAGCGAGAGACGAGTATACGGAACCGGTAGTAGATTGAAAGTCAGAATAGAGAGAAGAACGCATTAAGTAATAACCTGAAACAAAAGTACACTTAAAGAAAGCTAAATACAATCAAAGATTCAGAGAGAAACATTGCAATCCAGTGTCACGAACAAAGATAATAATAGACGAGAATAGACTAAGTGCAATGAGACAAAGATGTACAATGGTAATAATAATATAGAATACAGGGTCAAAGAAAGTAAAAGCGAATGTCAAAATAAAAAAAGAGCTGCCAGATTGGGACAAATCGCGCAAGCAAGAGGAATTTGGCAAAATGTGATTTCCAAAACAAAGAGGGAAGAATGCGTGTTGAAAGAGTATCAGTATTGAAAAGACAATGAGAATGAGGATAAGGACGAAGAGGGAATGAAAGATCATTAAAAAGAAGCTGTATTAGGAAAACACGTTGAAGATCAAAAGCAGAGCACATCATTTACTATCGAAAACAAACGCAAGGAAGACATAAGCAAGGTGTACAAATTTTGAAAGCACAATGTAACATACGAAAAGGAAGCTCTACTTTTCCAAATAAAGAGGGAGGAATGCGTATTAAAAGGGTATCAAGTTTGAAAAGAAAATGAGACGCAAGCTAAGGCCCAAGAGGGAATCAAAAGTTAAAAAAAAAGCACTGTATTTGAAAAGCACATTTAAGATCAAAAGCAAAGCACATGATTTACCATCGAAAACAATGGAAAGAAAGAGATAAGAAAAGCGTAGAGAATTTGAAAGCACAATGTAACAGATCAAGAGATAACTCCAGCCGAAAGATGCAATCAAAAGCAACGACGCAAAAGCGAAAACACATCTGAAAAGCAATCTATGTATGATAATAAGCCAGTCAATGAAAAGCACATGGACCATGGAACGGCTATAAATAGAGGGAAGAATTCACGCCAAATTGGTATGGACGTCAAGCCCCGACTACACCCTAAAAAGTGAGTCTAACGTGAGCTCTGACTAAATCTGCAGTGACCCGCCGGAAGGCTGAATCTATGTCTCATGGATTTTGGCCTTCGGGGGGGGTTGCAGATTTAGTTGGAGGTAATAAGGGTTGAATTTCAAATTTGACTCTCACACGCGCATTTCCTGGCCCTGTTTTGGCCCTGGTTGACACAAACAGGGCCAAGATGCCCAGTCTGGATGAAATTTCAATAATTACCCCTGATGTCCCACTTTGGGTCAAAAATACAGGCAGATCAGGTTCCTGACTACCTATATGGGAGTGAAGCTGAAAGGGTAAAGCCAAGTAAATCACACCAGATCTGTTACAAGTCTGTAGCATAGGGGGGTTGGACTCTACACCTCACAGTGAAGAGTACAAGGTACCTAACACTCAGTATTCACATGCTACATCTCGATAAAAGTATGGTCACTAACAATTAATTGTTACCACTATATGTAAGGTGTTAGTTATGGAACATTATTTATAATGTTCAGACTACTGAGTCTTGTTCAAGCAATTGAGCAAGCAAAGTTAAACACTGTGGATTTTTTGCTAATAGCTATGCTTTTACAATAATTCACTTGAGAGACACCTTGATTTTTGCATTTATGCAGATTGACAAGTGCGCTTTCTGTTAGATTTGATATAAGTGTACTTTCCTCCGTGCATCACTGGTATCATAAGGGTTGGTTTTACCAATTCAAGGAGTCTAAAATAAAGTGAACACATATATCATTTCAAAGCGGATTGAACATTTGAAGATTTCAGACATGTAGAATGAAAAAGTGAACTCTCACTCATGTGTATGATTAAAGTGCGTGTACTCAAATTTATTTTGAAGGAAAGGCTTTATGAAAAACACAAGAGCTATTGGGACCGGGGGAATAAATACTTGTTAGAGTAGCAATGAAATGTTATAGGCAACTACAACAGAGTAAAAGTGAAATAATGAGTCCTTATTATTGACCAATGAAACGTTATTCACATATGATTAAGGTGCATGTACGCAAATCTGATGTGCAGGAAAGGCTTTATGAAATGCGTGTTTATACAAAGTAAAAGTGATATATTAAGAATAAGTCACCATTAATATCTTGAAAAGGCCTTGTTGGTCAATGGATGAAAGTTAGAAAGGATCACTGTCTCAGTGTACCATCAAATTGTAAGACATTATTCTTGATGGATGTCTAATATGGGATGCTTCTCACCGGGCATTCATTTATTGGTTACACGCCTTATATTAAACGTCAAGATTGAATAACTATTGCTTTTTGGGAAGTATGTTGTTGCTTTTATTCCGATAACTGTAGTCTAAACTCGCAAACGCTGGGATAGTATTACTTTGACATTGAAGAGTATACGTGTTCATTCCCTTCGTGCATCACCGGTACATTAGGATTGAGTGCTGTTGACCATAAAAGCTATGCAACTGTACATTGATGGAAATCAAATAGTAATAAAATCAACACAACACTTGGTTCAAGAAGTTGAAAATGAATGAACACGCTATATATATTCACATTGGGGACAAGATTGAACATTTAGACATCACCTTGGGTTTATAACTCATCCATCAGGATCCATGATGCTCTTTGGAATAAAACCGTGTTAACATGTACAAGCCAATTTGACATACTCTAACAAAACTTAACAACTGAATTGCCCTCGTCCTAGACTTATAGCGCATATTCGACCTTTAACTTTTAGCCGATATTCATCTTGCATAAGTGAACGTTATCATGTTTTAAAACCAATTAGTGTTACCTGACTCAAAGGTTCCTCAATGTGCGCTTCTATGATTAAGTAAATCAGTGTTGTGCGTAGTAATTTAATTTCTACACAGTGTCAGTCTCATTCTTTCAAAGGTACTGCGAGATGCGAAACAGCTTGAACAATGTTGGGACTATCTTCAATCACGACTTTAAATGCGAATAGTTCTTTAGTGTTGAAAAGTGTTGGCGGTGGTATGTACTCTCATTGATCTGAAGGTGACTTTATGTTATTAGTAAGAGAAATGAAAGGTGGTAAGGCTTAGTAACTCATGCAAATGGGCGAACGTGTTTTGCGACTTGAAGAGCTACATGTTACCTGGTTGATCCTGCCAGTAGTCATATGCTTGTCTCAAAGATTACGCCATGCATGTCCAAGTATAAACAATTATACAGTGAAACTGCGAATGGCTCATTAAATCAGTTTTAGTTTATTTGATGATACCTTACTACATGGATAACTGTGGTAATTCTAGAGCTAATACATGCCGAGACAGCCCCTTTC